AATTACTGTGGGAAGACTGGCCATTGGGAGAGAGAGTGTTGAAGAAGTCACGAGAAATTAAGGCTAAATCAGTAGCCTTGGTTTCCACTAAAGTAAGTTTATCCAAAAAGTTTTCACCTGTAACTGTTTTCCCCAGAAATGAAAATAAAGCTTCTTAAGAAAGTTGGATGTAAACAGTGGTGATGGGGCTTTCACTGGATCGTATGATAGTTTTATGCATGAAGGTACTGTCTCACTTGAGGGTGGGGAAAAGAAATCTGTTCAGATTTTACGGGATACTGGCGCTTTAAAATCTCTCATGTTAAAAGGTTTGGTTGATTTTGAAAGCCCAGAGAAAATAGTTGTTCATGGAGTTGGAGGATCCATCTCTGTTACCCCTGTGAGAGTGTACCTTGAGTGTGAATTCTTTGAGGGTTTTGTGTGTGTGTAGGCCTGGTGGATCAATTGCCTATGCATGGTGTTCATTTCCTGTTGGGAAATGATATAGCGGGCAACAAGGTGAACCCTGTCCCGTTATTATCTGAGAAACCTGTAGCTGTGGAAGAAACTAAGCAATTAGTTGAGGAAGTACCCCATGTGTTCCCTGCCTGTGCTGTAACAAGGTCCATGTCAACCAATATTAAAGTACCTCAGACTGGGAATGTAATCAATCCTGTCACTACTACTGATACTGATGCTGTTAACTTGGCTGATACCTTTTTTGCCACCATTGACTCTGTAGATAGAGTAGCACTAGTTAATCAAACTGATATGTCTAAAGGATTAATTGAATTGCAGCAAGCTGACCCTGAGTTGCAAGACTTAGCTGAAGCTGCTGTGGCTGAAAATGAGTGTGATGAACTGTCAGTTTGTTACTATTTGAAAAGGGGTGTATTAATGCGTAAGTGGAGACCCCATTCGTCCCCAGCAACTGACAGTGAGTGGGTGACAGTACACCAGGTAGTAGTTCCAAATGTTTATAGGTATGATATAATGAAACTTGCTCATGATTCTACTTTGGCAGGACATTTGGGGGTAAGAAAGACCTTAGACCGGATTTGGCGTAACTTTTATTGGCCTACAATTCGCAAAGATGTTTCCCGTTATTGCAGGACATGCCACACATGCCAAATGGTCGGTAAGCCTAATCAACCTCCTGATATTGCTCCATTAATACCCATTCCCCCTTTGATGCTCCATTCTCCAGAGTGGTTATTGATATTGTTGGCCCTTTACCTAAAACTGCAACAGGATATTCTTATATTCTTACTATCATGGATATGGCTACTAGATATCCTGAGGCTGTTCCTCTCAAAAATACCTCAGCTAAAATAGTAGTAAGAGAGTTATTACAGTTCTTCACAAGGTTTGGCTTACCTAAAGAAGTGCAGTCTGACCAGGGATCAAATTTTATGTCCAAAGTTTTCAGACAGTCCCTCCGGGAACTAGGTATTGAGCAGATCACTTCCACTGCTTACCATCCTCAGAGTCAAGGTGCCATAGAACGTTATCATCAAACTCTTAAAAGTATGATTACAAAATTTTGTACAGAAAGTCACAAGGATTGGGATAAAGGCTTGCCTTTCTTGCTTTTTGCTACTAGAGAAACACCAAATGAATCCTTGGGGTTTTCTCCATTTGAGTTAATGTTCACCCACGAGGTGAGAGGACCATTAAAATTATTAAAAGAAGAGTGGCTTGGTATGGATGAGAATGTAGGACTTTTATCTTATGTTAGTGACTTTAAAGAGAAGCTGAACCGTAGTTGGAAAATTGCTAGAGATAACTTGGTTTCTTCCCAAAAGAAAATGAAGAAATGGTACGATAAGAAAGCGAGAATGAGGGTGTTCCAGCCAGGTGATCAGGTGTTGGTTCTGCTTCCCATACATGGTCAACCCTTACAGGCAAAATTTAGTGGTCCATATTTGGTAAAGCAGAAGCTGAGTGATGTTAATTATGTTGTTTCCACCCCAGATAGGAGAAAATCCAGTCGACTATGTCACATAAATATGTTAAAACCATACTACCAGAGGGATTCACCAGATGCTCCAGTGTGTGCAGTAGCTCTAACACCCACAGAAGATGAAGATAATGCTTGCCCGCCAACATTGGAGATGACTGGGACCTGGGAGAAGAACACTAACGCCTGGACCAAGGTATCAGATAAGCTCACCCATCTAACAGCAGAGCGGAGAGAAGAATTTGTCTCACTCTTGTCTCGGTATCAGGATGTATTCCGGGACTCACCAGGACTTACAACATTAGCAGTGCATGATGTGAATGTGGGGGATGCTGCACCAGTGAAGCAGGCGCCTTACCGTGTAAATCCAAATCGTCTTGCCCCTCTTCAACAAGAATTGAATTATATGTTAGAACATGGACTAATTGAAGCTTGCCAAAGTGAGTGGTGTTCACCTGTGACTCTAGTGCCCAAGTCTGATGGGGGATATCGATTTTGTATTGATTTTAGGAAAGTCAATGCTCTGACTAAGACAGACACATATCCGTTACCAAGGGTGGATGAGTGCATCGACAAAGTGGGAAGTTCTAATTACATTAGCAAGTTTGATCTACTAAAGGGATATTGGCAAGTTCCTTTGACTGACCGAGCTCAGGACATTTCATGTTTTGTTACTTTGGGTCAAACTTATAAGTGTAAAGTGATGCCCTATGGTATGAAAAATGCTCCTGCCACTTTTCAGAGATTGATGAACACTATTACTGCAGGAATCAAAGGCTGTGTAACTTATATAGATGATGTGGTTGTCTACAGTGATTCTTGGGAAACATATCTCTGAAGTTGGAGAACTCTTGAATAGATTCTCCAGTGCTAATCTTGTTGTAAACCTCGAAAAATGTGAATTTGTTAAAGCCCAAGTACAGTATCTTGGGTATGTAATTGGACAGGATCAGTAGCCCCACCACTGGCTAAAGTTGAATCTATATGTCGGTGTCCCAGACCTCAGAATAGGAAAGAATTACAAAGATACTTAGGTATGATAGGTTACTATCGTATGTTTATTTTAAATTTTACAGAAGTGGTAGCTCCCCTTACTGATTTGTTGAAGAAAGGTATCAACTTTGAGTGGAGTAAGGAATGTGAACTAGCATTTGATCAAGTCAAAGCTATTCTTTCTAATTCCCCTGTATTGCAAGCTCCTAATTTCAGTAAGCCCTTCAAATTGGCTGTAGATGCAAGTGATGTTGGTGCTGGTGCCGTCTTATTGCAGGAAGATGACCAGGCCATTGATCACCCAGTTTGTTACTTTAGTAAGAAATTTAATTCAGCCCAGAAAAATTATTCTACCATTGAGAAAGAGTTATTATCACTTATACTTGGTCTTCAACATTTTGCTGTTTACCTTAATCCTTCTGGCCATGAAATTACGGTGTTTACTGACCATCATCCCCTCAAATATTTGAACAAGTTTAGAGATAAAAACCAGCGATTAACTAGATGGAGTTTATACTTGCAAGAGTTTCATCTTAATATCATTCATATAAAAGGGAAGGATAATGTGATTGCAGATTGCTTGTCACGACTTTAAGATATTGTTGAAACAAAAATTTCATTGTAAATTTTTCTTCTTAGAAAGGGAGGTGTTAAAGCCAGTGCCATGTTAGGGATTCTGACAGTTCGCGCGCATTTTTCCTTCAGCCAATAGGGAGAGGCCACCTGGATGTCTGTAGGCTCTCAGCCAATGAGAGGAGTTGACACTTTCACTCTTCCACGCGCTCTCTCTCAGGCGACAGCGTCTCTTTGTTCTTTCCCCCTTTTTGTGTTTATCATCACCTTATTTCTAGATTCAAGGAATCCCAGTACTTAAGTATAAGTTTTATGTGTTCTCAGATATATATAGGTCTGGTTAGGATAAGTGTTTGAATCTGTTTAGTGGTGTATTTTTTACGAAATATCCTATTGCATGTGTGTAAAATATTTCTTTTCCTAGGTTATGCATTTATCTGTTCGTTAGTTTCTTACTACAAGGCCCTGGATTCTGTTCTATTACTTTGATGTCATTCATGGAGTTAAAAACCTTGTTATCTTAGATCTTCAGTAAAATAGGAATCAACAGCATTGTTTATTTTAACCGTTGCGTAACATATATATATATATATATACACACACACACACACACACATATATATATATGTATGTGTGTGTGTGTGTGTCTGTGTCTGTGTCTGTGTGTGTGTTTGTGCGTGCGTGTTTATATGTGCCTGTGTGTGTGTGAGTGTGTGTGTGTGCGAGTGTGGGTGTGAAAGGATCAACGAAGGGAAGAAGAAGAAAACAACGGAATGTACCGAAGGCCTTTTCGCTGCATTTCTTCTTCAGCGTTTACAACGTAAGAGATACAGAAAAGTATATTTACATGTACTGAGCGGTCAGGTCACGTTGGTAATTCGGAGTGCAAGGCCTTGGGTACATTGTGGTTCCTTGTTGCTTTATTGAATTTACTGGCTGAACAGAGGAAACGCCGCTTCAATCACTTTCTTTGCCGAGGGGGCAGGCCTTGATTTATAATGGGACTTCTTGGGGAGAAGGTCGTCCATGTCGAAGTGAACAACGAGGGCGCTCATATTCTCATGACGTCGGAGAGCGCTGCGAGGTTGGTCGTGAGGTTCTCTTTCTGTCTCACCTATGTCATCTTTGTCGCAGCCGCTGCAAGGTATGCTGTACACATGCTAAGAGGTAACCTCTTTCCCCTTACAGTATCTCCAATTTCCTTGCCTGAACTAGTAGCTTTCATCATTGTGCGGCCCACCAGGGCCTCCAGGTCGTCTGTCAATTCCGAGCGAGGGATGATCATTCTGCGGGTCGTGTCCTTTGTGTGGCGACGTGAACTGACCGCTTAGTACATTTATGTATGTGTGTATATATATATATATATATATAGATATATATATATATATATATATATATATATATATATATATATATATATGTATATATATATATATATATATATATATATATATATATATATATATATATATATATATATATATATATATATATG